TTGTGAGTCCTGATTCATGATATTTGGCTCAATAGGGCATTGGCTGAACCTACTGGTTCAAAGACTTTGGAATACCTTCACTAGAGTATTTTTTATTTCGCTATGCAGAATCAAAGAACGGTGGATGATGTTCTATAGGCTGAATGGAATCTGTTTGCTTTCCGATTCTGTAATCATCACCAACCGTATACAACGTAACTAAATATGATGCTTTCGTTCTCTATCCAGGAGGCGCAGTGGTACTGTAGAGATCACAACGTGTTCATCGGCCAGTGCTAAGTTAGCATCTTGTGAAAAAACTAAATAATGTCACAGTAAGCTAATACAATGTAAAAAAAAATCGACATAATGTCAAGATACGTAATACCCGTGCCGACCTTGATCTTTTGCAGAAATACCTTACCCAGAAAGGCACAGATCCATGGCTTATTTTTAAATAGATATATGAAGCACTCCTAATTAAAGACACCAAAAACTGTTAAAGTGCCGAATTGCCTATACAGGGTGACTTCGAAGTTGAGTCATTTATTTTAACAGTGAGTAGATCTGATCAAAAGAAATGTTTTTTTCCTTTACCATTCTTCTGATAAAATTAAAGTTACAAAGTTATAGCCCTTTGGAAGTTTGAGTACCGCCCTGTCTCAATAATAATATTATGTGCTCGTGTTTGGCAACAACGGATATAATCCGCCCTATCGGTTCATCGCATCGGAAACAAAAAAAGCGAAAGAATTTGGAACGATGTTTTTACAATTATTTTATTCAGTTGTATACAGTCAGTGTCAGTCGGTAACGCGTGAGTGAATAGTGGTGTCTGTTGCGTGGCTCAAACGAAATAAAAAATGGCACATGTTTATGCGGATCGGTTTCCCAATCGAGTGCAACCAACCCCTCGTGCCTTTGTTAATGTAGTACAACGGGCTCGTGAATCAGGTAACTTAAGACCTCACAGGGGACGGCATGCCGGTGCTCCAAGACCTCACGATCAAATACAGGTCCGCACTGAAATACTTGTCGGCAAGATACTTTATAAAACAAGGTAAAATTTGTTTTTATTTTTTTTTTATTTTTACACACATATTTTGGTTTATCTTCCTTCTACAATCATTATCTGAAAATTAATGACTCAACTTCGAAGTCACCCTGTATATGATTCATTTAGCTTCAAGCCCAAAATGTATTACAAAAATTTCATCAAAGACACTACAGTTTCTAAACAACATACAGTGGAATCCACTTATAACGAACTTGATTATAATGGAAACCCATATATAAAGGACACAATTTAAGGTCCTATAAATAATTGCATGTAAAATCCTCGGATATTATAGACTAGCTTAAAATAGTTCTGCGACCAGGGTGTCATTTGGAGTCTTAAAAAATGTATCGGAAACATATGTTGATGAAAATTATGGAGCTTCAAGAAGATGTCAACGTTACCAAAGCTGTCACCATTTTAGATGCTATAAATTTGCTTACTATTGCATGGGAATTGGATACTCCAGAAACGATTCGTAATTGTCTTCGCCATGATTTTAATCCAGAAGATGAAATGCCATTAAGTGATTTACTGAGAATAACACTGGACAACAAATTTTAGTTTTTTAATTGTATCTTGTGGGAAAAATGCACTTCTTTGTTAATTTTGGGGTGTTGAATCCAAAAATGACAATGAAATAAAAAAATTAGTTGCGGTTTAGAAAAAAAACTTTTTATTTTTAAGGATATATTAAAAAAAGTAACAAGATTCATATACTTATAAGAATCACTATATGCGCTGTCTTTTTGCTGTTCTTTTATGGATCGTTTCTGGAGCATCTCTACCAAGAGTCCAACAGTAGTCTGCAAGCATGGAAGGATTCGACTTTCCCTGGTACCTTTTTTCCATTGTTGAAATATCCTGATGAAAACGTTCGCTGTGCTCATCACTTACGGCTCCGCAATTGTCAGGAAAAAAGTCCAGGTGTGAGTGCAGGAAATGTATCTTAAGAGACATATTACAGCCCATCTTTTGATACGATGACAGCATATTTTTGACAAGGGTTTTATAGTTGTCAGCTTTTCTATTTCCCAAGAAATTAGTGACCACCAGACGGAAATCATTCCAAGCAGTTTTTTCAATACCTGTTAAAGTGTTTTCAAACTGTGTATCTTTCAAAATATTTCGAATCTGTGGCCCAACAAAAATACCTTCTTTAACCTTTGCCTCACTTAGTCTTGGATATTTCTGACGCAGGTATTGAAAAGCTGACCCATCTCTATCTAATGCCTTGACAAAGTTTTTCATTAGGCCCAACTTGATATGCAGTGGTGGTAATACATTTTTTTTCGAATCTACTAATGGCATATGCTGTACATTTTTTTGACCTGGCTCTAGGAATTGACGAACAGGCCAGTTTTGTCTGGTGTAATGAAGTGCCTTTGCCCGACTGTCCCATTCACACAAAAAACAGCAAAACTTTGTGTAGCCTAGCTGCAGCCCAAGTAACTTTCAAATCGCCACAAATATGCCATTGGTGCTCATCGTATTTTATGCATGTCAATAGGTACTTCATATTGTCATATGATTCTTTCATGTGAACTGCATACCCTACAGGAAGAGATGGTAAAATATTTCCAATATGCAATAACACTGCCTTTAAACTCAATGTTGAACTGTCTATAAACAATCTCCATTCTTCTGGGTTATAGTTTATATTTAAAGCCGCCAGTAAGCCGTTAATGTTACTGCAGAAAACCAAGTTATTCTCCATATTGAAAAATGGTTCTAAGTCTTTGTGGCGTTTACGAAAAACACATACCGAAACATGGTCTTCTAACAAGTTCCACTGCTGCAGTCTTGATCCAAGTAACTGTGCCTTACATTTTGGAAGTTCTAAATCTCTTACAAGATCATTTAATTCTGACTGTGTTATTTTGTGCGGTTGGTAGCATGACGTGCTCGGTATAAAATCAGGATCTCTTGACGTTGATGGCATATCTTCTTCCTGACGAATCACTCGATCGCCATGATCTGATTCGTTTTCTGATTTGCAAGTGTAGGATTCTGGGGGTTTTGGAATAGGATTTTCGTCACTGTGAGGCACAGGTCTCATCGCAGATGGTATGTTTGGGTAGTTAATAACCGATTTTTTTTCTTGGACATACCTGTGGCTTGTCCAACACAAGGTACCATGCAAAAGTAACAATCATTAATATGATTTGTAGGCTCTCTCCAAACCATTGGGACAGCAAAGCGCATAGACCGTTTTTTGCCATTTAATCAGCTCCTTAGGCTTGAAGCACATCTATTACAGCAGATGTGGGGTGCCCACTGTTTGTCTTGATCACCTAGTTTAGAACCGAAATAAAGCTGATATGCCTTTTTTATTAGAGGAGTAATAGACCGTCTCCGAGACGCAAAAGTCACATCACCACACACGTAACAAAACTGATCTGGATTGTTTACACACTTTCGAGACATCTTGCATGAACGCTGTCAGCCAACTGAGGAAAAAATGGCTAATATAAAACAATATAATGTACACGTATGTATAACGTAACACAATCATGCCGATTACATCATCTTTCCTTGCCGAATATAAAAATGTAGCACGTGCATTCTTGTGAATTACAGTATATTAACACTGTCACAGCAGGAACACATATAATTACCCTATCTCTAAAACTTGAACTAATATTGAAAAAATAAGTTTCATTCCGGTTTTAGCACATTAAAAATAGTAATATTTGGTTGATTTTATTTAGGATATTTTTTGGCTGTTGATCAGTGTAATTGTCCCTGAAAGTTGTAATAAATTATGGCGCGAAAATGTTCTCGGCTGAGTTCCATTTTTCTAATGACTTGGTGACACTTAAAAATTCACTGTAGTGAGAACACTGCACGTATTGTTGTGAAACTTTGAATTTAAGTTTACTAAAGAGTGAGGTTCAGATTCAGTACTGACGTTCGATCCGCGCGGCCTATTATGTTTCTTTATGCAAGACTTAAAAGACATCCCTCGTAATGCCCTGAGGCAAGTCCATCTAGTGCCCATCCTCCAACGTCTTCGGCCGCACCCCTGCTCTCCGTGGTACGGGGGTGAACTCCGTCGGGGCGCCGCGCCGTTGTGTGGGTGGTGGGGGGGTGGCGTCGGGGTATTCGGCGTCGCGGCGCCCGCTCAGTGTTTGGTCAGCAGCCGAAAAGTGTGGTGGTCCAAGGGACGATAGGTCAGGTGATTGTTGCGTGCCCAACGTGCGTGCGTCGTAGAGACAAACGAGAGGGAGGTTATGTAAGTACAGAGGGATGAAGTGAAATATTCATTGATTTTATCTCGGCATGCAAAGGTGATGTAATTTGTGGAGAGGAGGAAGATGGGATTGAACAGTCTTTTTCACTGAGATAGTATTCGACTTTAGCTTAGTGTACGAAAGTTAGGTTATAAATTGATTGAATTTAGAGAACTGCAGCAATGAGCGCTTCAGGTCAATGGTTTGGTGTGTATCAAATAGATTCGTTCTCTAAATGCTCCCATTATGACAGAAAGCCTTTCTATTTGGTTACATATGTTAATTCTTGAGCTCATATTTAACAACTAGCATATATTTTTTGAATGGACATAGGTGTTCAATATGTCCAAAATCAGAATTTTTAACATTTTACTTTTCTCTGAATTTACATACTGGTCATAATGCGTTGCCAGGTATACTGACATAGGAAAAAGAACACCCAGTAGTATAATCCCATCCCAAATAAAACCAGGAAAAAATAAGAGTGATTTTTGGATAAACATGGTATGCGAAACAAATGACTAACTGATAATTTAAAGGCCTGCCTACGAAATTCTGTTTTTTTTTAAATAACTAAGGTTTGGCAATGTCAAGGTATGACGTGTTAATATTTTTGGAATCAGAATTGAAAACTCTATTTATGTATGCAAAAATTCTATATGGCGTCCATAGGGGCCGTTCAAGTATCAAATCCAAAACCAAGTCATCAACTGTTTGTTTTACTTTTACAGGTGGTGGAAGAAACCTATTGTCTAGTAAACTAAATAGGCCACTTCTTGGACGACAACATTCTGTATTTCTACATGTTACAATTTGAAGCAAGTATTGGCTCTCACGAACATGTTCTGAATACCATTTAATGTCTGGAAAATCAGGAATATCTTGTTCACCTGCCCCAATATATTTTGCATTAAAATTATAGCCATCAATTTCCATTGAACTCCATACTTCAGCTAATGCATTTCCTGCAATTTCTAAATGTTCATCAATTGTAACGCCACGTTCATCCAAATGTCAAATGGTCACGAGGTAATGTTAAACCAGCCAGTTCCCGACCAGGAGGAGCCAATCTGCGCTCTACTCTGTGATACGCACTTCTTCCAGGAGCATTGGTAGCTAAAAACAATGTATCGAGATCATGTCGCTTAAAGTATTGTATAGCAAACCCTATGACTTTTTTATAACGTGGATTTTCATCTGGCCTTCCATCAACCGTCATGATTACCACCGGTTTTACTAGTCCATGGTCAGTTTTAGCTAATGGTCGAAACTCTTCAAGTTCGAGAAGCGTCTCGAAATCCTGAGCATGAGTATTAGCAGTAGATGAACTATGCTTTCCACTTCGAATAGCGATGTATGTTGGTCCAGAATATCCTAGCATATTCGAAGTGATTTTGATACCAGCATAAACAGATGGTATTAATTTATGACGCTCAGCGATTACCCAATCGTGATCAGGCAATTTGATTCTATATTCCATGTGCATTAGAAGAGGTGCTTGCTTTATCATCTTGAGATATGAAAAATACTTGATCTGGTCCAAGTATGGATGCTATGTTCTCTAAATAATGGATTGATGTTTCAGCGAACTTGCTATCTAAGTCGCTCTTGTGGTGATCAGTTTGAGCCCGAATGAGCTAAACAGGGACTGTCGATACATGTCTTCGTCCCTCTGCAGAATTAGATTTTCTGGGAATCAAACGAAGATATGTCCCACTGCGACTAATGTCAAATCCTATTTTACGTAATCCTTGTGTAAGTTCATCAAGAGTTTTTACGCTGCGAATTGATTCCGTTCGTCTTCTATCATCTGCTGCACTCCCAAATAAAGCTATATCCGCGATTGTTTTCAATAGTGAATGTTGATTGCTTTCAAGATTAGGACGTCCCACTGAATCCCTCAGAGTCTTTTTTTCATTTCTGGATTTTCATGACATATCTTCTAACTTTCTTTTCATACCATCCATGTGTTTCTTCTGGGCAACTGTGTTTTGAACCTTCCTGTTTAAAGACTGTTTTGCTGTTTTTATTTCCTCGCGCAACTTAATGATCTGTTTATCAACTTCAGCACGGCTTGGCAGAGTATCTCTGGCAGAATACGAAGCATTCAGATTTTTTTCGAGTAAAGCAATCTTATTTTTCATAGCTTCCTAAGAAGGTTTTGCTCTCTGTTTATCTGTATTTTCATTAATTTCGCATTGCTGTTGTGATTCATTACCGGGTTTTATTTTATCTTCTTCCTCTTTTTTAATATTTGAAGCTGACTGTATAATTTGTTTTTTTTGCAGGTTTACAGGTTGCCTAAAAATAAAAACTTTCTATGGCTTCTGCTAAAGATTCTCTTATTAAGCTACATAAATCCAAAGTATGGCAATATATATGGTCAATACAAAACTCTATGGCTTTAAATCTAATATGTTTAAACGAGCAATTCGTTCCGGTCACAAAATACAGGGTTAGTTTTCTGTATATATGTATACTAACATCCTGTACTTTGTGACCAATTGACCGAATCAATCATAAGAAATAAATCTATAATATAATGAATATTACCTCTATACTTTGAGATAGACCATAATATTTTCTAATCAGTAAAGAGAAACTTTTTGGCGATTTCTAATATTTCTAGTACTCATAGGTACCTAAAATGATTCCGTCACTCACCTTAGAAAAAAAATTTAGTGGATTGGATTTATTCTTAGTCGCCGCTTGCAATTCTTCTTCGATTCTCTTAGATACAATAATATCTAGTTCCTTGTCGGATTTTGCTTGTAATTTGGCTAATGGAATCAATGGTAACACAAATGTTAACTTGCTTTACTATGCTTACAATACGTCTACTCGCTATAGTATCCAAACGAAACAATACACTGATAGAGAAAATTTAGACAAGTGAACACCGCGCGGTAATTCCCCTACTCGGTTCTAAAGCGAGTAGGGGAATTACCGCACGCTGTTCACTAAACGTATGCATTATTTCCGGGAATCCCCGAAAATGCGTTTCGCTTTCAAGCAAAGACAATGTGAGGGTTGCCATTCGTGTAAAAAAGTAAATAACTACCGATGACGTAATCATCATCTAGACTCCCCTACCCCCCACGCCATCCAAAATAAGCAAAGCAAAGACCCCCCGCTATACAGGATGTCCCATTTAAGAAATACAAGTTTATATTGCAACTAATTTATGGTACACCCTATATAGCCAAAAACAATTAGGTTTAGCTCTGCCTACAACTTTTGTGTTCCACTTTTTTCTGCAACTCTAATAGTAACGAAGATATTAAGCTTTGACGCACTATTTGGATACCCTGTATATTAATCCATGTAAGCAGATGCATTTCAACTTTACTGGGCTACTGTTCGTGTTTGCCCAAAGTTTGAGCCGGAAGCGGATGCATTCGAGTAATTAGTAGCAAAAACTGTCCGAACAGTTTGGAGCTCCATTAGGATGGAGGGAAATGGGGTTTCCGTACAGAGTAATAACGTTTCCATTGATCCCAGCAATTAATATTTCGCTCAGCTCCGAGCTACGGAATTGCATGAAAACAGCTAACACAAGCAAAACTATGTGGAACTTTAATCATGGCCAAGATTCAGCTATGCGTATAGAGCGGAGTATACTAATAAATACTGATAAAATAATTCTCCCAGGACTGTCTCAAAAACTTTGACCAGTCAGCTTACTTCCCATTTTCAAAGCTTTTGAAACGGGAAATAAGGATACAAATATCCGATTATATTTTCAGTAATGAAATAATTCCGTCAATGCAGTCAGGATTCAAGGAAGAAACCGTAGCAAAACAAGGACTCTAGCCAATAAGAGGCCTTGATCAAGGAAATGTCACTTATTTGGCTCTGCTGATTACACAAAAGCTTGCTACGAGCCCCTTTCCACTTCAGTTGGCCCACTTCAAGATTTGTACCAAAATATACCTTTATAAACTAAACATGACGAAACTATTTACTTCTAAAACAATTTATTTTCTCAAAAACATTTTAGATACACTCTAGTCGTAAAAAATACATATTTGAAATCACTTAGACCTATAACTAATAGAACATCTGAACAAATAAACAATGTGCGAATAAATGCGCGAAGTTAACAAAGCAACAATTGAAAGATTACCATTGGGTAACATCACCTTTATTCTTTATTACGGCTGAAATACTTTGGGGCATAGTGTTAACCAAGTTTTGGCAAAAATTAGGTTTAAAACAATCCCATATTTCTTGAAGCTTTTGTCTCAGTTCGATGATTATACGAGCAGGATGTTGTCGTAGAACTTTTTTCATCTCGTGCCACAAAGTTTCAATAGGTGACAGATCTGTACTGCTAGAAACCCAATTCAAAAGTGGTACATTATTTTCTTCCATCGATTTTATAACCTTTTTTGAGGTATGTCACGCTGCACCATCTTGCTGAAACACAAAGTCTTGGACGGATGTCAAACATTCTTCCATCACTGGTAAAAGCGATTCTTCTAAAATTGCCAAATATTTGTTTGTATCCACATTTCCATCAATAAAATGAAGTTTTCCTACTCCTTTCAATGACATACTGCCCCAGACCATAATGAATGCTGGAAATTTCACTTTTCTCTTCAGACAGTCAACATGGAATTCTTCATTTTTTTGCGAATAACTGTACTGCGACTGTCACCAACACAAACTTCGAATCGGGCCTCATCACTCCATTCTATTGCACACCATTGTTGAGGTGTCCATTGTCTATGTTCTTTAGCCCATCTAAGCCGATTTTTCTGTTGCAGTGGAGTTAAGCAAATATAACAGTGTTCCTACACCTGGGATCCTCTAGGCTCCTTGAACTTTCTACTAAGTCATATGGTAAATTTTTATATCAATATTTGATTTGTCTTACCATTTTAACGTATATATGTGTATATGTGTATATATGTATATATGTGTGTGTGTGTAGAAGTAAACATACGTATTGTGGTTAAATGAATATGCGTGTATCTATGTACGAATATATGTCCTCCTGTTTTACTTATATGGACTTGCTGTATCTGCTTTTATTGAATCATAATGTCATAAGTTGATGTTTTTCTGTCTGATTTGAACATCAGTCTTTTGTCAGACTGCTTTTTGTATTAATTTTTTTTTCTTTTGACTTGTGTAAACACGCTGGTGTACTTAACACAAATAAAGAATTGAATTGAATTGAATAATAGTGGCTTTTCTTTGGCCTATAAACAAGTTGTGCAACTTTAGGGTTTTTGCTTCACTTTTTTTATAAGAAAACTTATACTTTATCTGAAGTCACTTGAAACACTGTGAAATACCGGGTGCGTTTTATATATCTATATTTAACACGCCCTGTTGCTGCAAAAATCGCCAAATTTCGCAGCAAATATCCCGTATAAGATCTAAGGCAGTTTCACCGGTCCACGTGGAGTAAAGCACGCCTACGCGTGGACATAGCCAATGAGAAAGAGTGTATTTCAGAGCTCCGAACAAGTGCAGGTGGCTACTGAAAATTGAAACAGTTTAGCCAGTGCCGTGAAGCGGTGAATAAACGTGTTTTCTTTAGTCTGTCCGTGTTTTTTCATAGATTTTATTAGTTTGTGTGTTTTTGACTTTTGAATACTCAGTTTACTTGTTGATTTAATTGTTGTGTTCATTGTTCTTGTGTGTCCTAAATATGGCTCTTTGGAGACCTTGGGAAAATGCTCCAAGCCACGAGGAGATGGTTGATGAACCTGTGCAGGCAGAATTCTTTCATAAAGATTTAGAGGAACAGACCCAAAGAGTAATCCTAAATATGTATAATTGTCTGAAAAACGAAAATCCAGATTCCTCGCAAAATCAA